AAAAAGAGCCTTACGAGTACAAAAAGGAAAAACAGTTCTAAAATAAATTAGAAAATTTTATCAAAGTCCCTATTTAAAGAGGCGTCTCAGTTCACTGTGATGTAGGAAGAGGGTGAAGGGATTTAAATGTAAGTTTTTCAGGGGTCTGCTATTACAGTATAAGTGAGTTTTTGCTGTCTAGTTTTAGGACTGTTAAGTGACAGAGCTGAAATGGTTAAATACAGTGAAGGTTACAGTGATATTGATGTAGWGATGATAGACAGATTGAGAAACCAGCTGCAGGGTTTAGATTAGATGATGTTCAACCATTTGATGAGTATGAGTGTGGGGTTACATTTTGCAGCCATATCATGAATAGTTTAGTAAAAGAGACTAGATTTGTAAAGGTTGATTTTGTGTCGAAACATGCTTGCTTTTTAAAAATATCACCTAAATGTCTTCATCATTGCTGCTTGTTGGCTTCATTTCTCTGAGAAGAACTGGAAAGACTGTTTCCTTCTGTCAGCAACCAGTGAGGAAAACAAAAACTGAGAGCTACAGGTGGTGTGCACTGCGCAGCCTTTTTGTTTGGACCTGAGGGGTTGTGATGCATGGAGACAGCCCCCCCCTCCCCACACACACACACACACACACACAAATTTCCAAACAAAAGGACACTTTTACATCAGAGATTGGTGTGAATGTAACCAATATGATTTTCAAGGTACGCCATGTTTCCAACAAGTTTTCCAAATTCCTCTTTGTTCTTTGTCGACCAGTAAGTCCTCCTCGCTTGCAAAAGACTTTTGTCACTTCCTGGATGTCAACGACCGTTCCTGTGGAAACGTGTGTACAAATATTGAAGCGGTGTGGAAATTGGGTCAACGTGAGCGCACAGGTCTCTGAATGTGTGACAGAATGGGAAAATATGGAAGCTTAAACCAGATTACATTTTAGAGAGTTGATTATAAAAGAGAATTTGTTTTTTAGGTTAAGTCTGATGCTTGAAACAAACTAATTATTTCTGAAATGTAGATTTATATATGTTTTTGTAACCATGTATGCATGTAATGTACTGGATATATGTATGTACAGTATGTACATGTATGTGAATATTAGGGGTGCAACAATACATGTACCCGTATCGAACCGTATTGAACAGTGCTTTAGGTTCAATACACACTTGTATCGAACAATACAGATTTTTTTAATTTACTTTATCAACTTGTC